CAGTTCTCTTGTGTCAGTATCCCTAGGCCTCTTGTCCTGGCTGGTTAGATGCCCCAGAGAAGGATTAGTTTATTCATTTAAAAAGTACTTGCTAGATGTATTACCTAGGCCCCTGGGTAGAGCAGTGAACAAAACAGACAAAAATTCTTGCTCATGGAGTTCATATTGTGGTGGAGGAAATTAGTCTCATAATTGAGATAGGTAAGTATATATGATACACTAAATAGTGGTAAGTGGTAAGGAGGGTAAATAAAGCAGGGACGGTAGAGGGGGAAGTGTTGCAGGAGTGATGCTGAAATTTTAGGGAAGACCTCAGTGAGAGGATGGCTTTTGAGTAAAGGACTGAAGGTGGGGAAGGAGTAAGTTGGGAGTGTGTTTCAGGGAAGAGGGCTGTAGGTAGAGGGACTAGGTCCTGAGATCCAGATGTGTCCAGGATGATCCAGGAACCACAGGGAGAGCCCTGTGACTCTCCTATTCCCTGTGCTCCCTGCCTGCAGCCTCCTGTGTGAGTATGTTCACTGACTTTGTTACCCAATCTCTCTAGAATTTTTGAATAAGTAGATGTCACGTGTTCTAGGAAAGTTTTTCGTCTAGAAGGTAGAAAACAACTTGGTTCGATATCTAAAATGTGTCCCCACTTGCCTGCAAAATGAATTTGTAATATTAGTCTCACTCTCTGATAATGAAAAGGAGACAAGGCTTTCATTGAATTGTGATTTTTAAATGGTATTTACTTTTTTGCCATTTTCCTCCCAGTTTTTGTAGGTTCTACCAATCAGTTTAGGATTACCCCAGAAAAATAGGAGCAATGTGTACCTTTTTCCCCCAAGAACATTTTGTAACTTTTACCTTTGCTCTTCATTTAGGAAGAAAGGTTTTGGTGGGACCGCGGGAATGGCATTTGTGGGAACGGTGTGTTCGAGGAGCCATGCTGGCGGGATTAACGTGGTATGTCTTGTTCTTAATGTTCAACCGTGGACATCTGCATTGGGAAATGTCATGCATTCATTGACTCTGCACTTCCTCTCCTGGTCCTTATAACGATATTTTGGGTATTATGAGGGAAATGGTAGAAGCGGCTCTTTCTCTAGAGACTGGATTAAGTTTTCTGATATTTATGATGTGTTTATTAGCACCTCACTTTTTATGATTGAGGAAACAAAGGCTCTGCTTGAGAAAATTAAATTAGAACCATGAACCTGTTTCCCCATAAACCACCATCAGTAATCTGTCAGTGCTAAAGGAGTTGATCTGTTACTTAAAGGGTTTGTCTCTGTCATCAGTGTGTTGTCACACCAGTTTCTTACTAGACTGAAGTATATACACACTGATATTGAATGCTAGATTTATCACATGGACTATCAACATGGTAGTGATGAATTTTCTTTTTGTGAAAAAATCATCTAAGAAACAGAAGGCATGTCCTTTTGGTTCTGAACTCTAATTAATACCTTCCTGTGTTTGGTCAGTTTGGGCAAATCGCGGTGGAGATATTTGCATCCATTGTTGCTCACGAGTTGGGTCATAACCTTGGAATGAATCATGATGATGGGAGAGATTGTCACTGTGTAGTCAAGAGCTGCATCATGAATTCAGGAGCGTCGTGAGTAACTGAATTCTTCCTTTTTATTCTTCTTAATGTGGGATTGCAGATCAGTGTGTCTTAAACTCTGTGGTATATTCACGTGTACGTTGGAAACATAGGAAACATTACTCCTTGGTCCCCTGAAATTAATTACGTGGTAACACCAATGAGAAGTTGATTTTTCAATTAAATAAATAACCCCAGAGAGCTTTAAGAAGGAAACATTTATGTAGGGCACAGGTCTGGAACTACATTCCTCTGTAAAGCAATGGAGAGACCAGAGGAGTGTGAGAACATGGAAGAATTTATATGTAATTAGAAATTAGAGAAGGGTTTCTGGTAGACTCAGTGCAGGTTGGATTGGAGTATAGGAAGCGTTTGCTCACAGACCCTTTCTTGAGAAAGCGCTGCATTTTCACTGAAGATGTCCTGACATCTTCCTACTAACACCCTCAATTTTATAGCTCACGGTGGGAGACAGGACAAAGAGGAGAAAGAAGAGTTAACATTTACTGAACCCCTTTATGTATCAGACATTGTTCTAAGCATTTAAGAGGCACGAACAACTTAATGCTCAGCAACGTGATAGACGTAGGGACTTTGTTATCTCTGTTGACGAAGGAGGACATGGAGGTCACACATCTAAGTAAGTGGTGAGGCTGGGATTTGAACTTAGGAAGTCTGGGTCCAGAGCCTGTGATCTTAGAACCCCTCCCTTTACCAGGGCACAAAAATAATTACAACAGAGGGCCTGAGGATGAAAAAAACCATTGAGTTATTTGGCTTCTTTTTGATGCAGATCTATCATAATGCAGCAAGTTTCCTTCCTAATTTAGTAGGCAGGGGTGCTAAGCAGAGAGCTGGAGATAGCCACAGTACAGACACAGAGAGAAGTTGAGCCAGAGAGAGAATTAGATATGAAAGATGTTCATCTTTATTTATTTATTTTTCATTGAAGTATAGTCAGTTACACTGTGTCAGTTTCTGGTGCACAGCACAATGTCCCAGTCATGCATATATATACATATATTCGTTTTCATATTCTTTTTCATTAAAGGTTACTATGAGATATTGAATACAGCTCCCTGTGTTATACAGAAGAAACTTGGTTTTTTTTAATCCATTTTTATATATAGTGGCTAACATTTACAAATCTCAAACTCCCAAATGTATCCCTTCCCACCCACTTTCCCCAGTAACCATAAGATTATTTACTATGTCTATGAGTCTGTTTCTGTTTTGTAGATGAGTTCATTAATGTCCTTTTTTTTCTTTTTTTCCCTCACATATGAGTGATATCATACGGTATTTTTCTTTCTCTTTCTGGCTTACTTCATTTAGAATGATGATCTCTAGGTCCATCCATGTTGCTGCAAATGGCATTATTTTATTCTTTTTTATGGCTGAGTAATATTCCGTGGTATAAACATACCACATCTTCTTCAGCCAGTCATCTGTTGATGGACTTTTAGGTTGCTTCCATGTCTTGGCTATTGTACATAGTGCTGCTATGAACATTGGGGTGCATGTAAAAGATGTTCATCTTTAACAAACATGGATGAAGATTTCATGGGGAATAACTGCAGCTCTGTGTTCATTCCCTTTTCTACCTCCCTCCAGCTCCTGAGCACAGAAAGAATGATGAAAACCTCTGTTAGCCAGTTATCTTCAGACCTGAGAGTGAAGGTCTCTTTAATCCTGGTATAAAATGACACACTTAAGCAAAATTTACTGGAGAGTTTATCTCTTTTTGACACATGGTATGCTGAAAAATAGATATGGAAGAATTAGAATAGTACTTGGGAAAAAACTGTACTTAGTAAAAAAAAAGGTAATTTTTGTCACAAGAAAAATCATATGTTTGTAAAAGATGTCTAGTAGGAGAGGGAAGTAAATTTGGCATCTGCTTTGGTTGCCACTTAAGGAAGCCATGAATTCAGGAAACAAGAAATAAATAAGCAACAATGAGGTAAGACGGGGGACTGAGATGGAACAAGGAACATCAGAGTTAAGGAGGGGATGCCGTGAAGCGATGCTCTCGCGGAGTTTAAATGGGGTAAGAAGTAATGAAGAACGTTCCGTACTTTTTCCATTCACTCATCAAATATTTTATTGAGCACTCGTGATGTGCCGCACTTTGTTTTGGCTGCTTGGACCCGCTCTGTGAATTAGACACAGACTTGCTAGTCATAGAATTTACATTTTCGTGGAGGAAGAGAAACTATTAGCATAATGAATGCATCAATAATGTAGAACGTGAGAAGGTGCTAAGTGCTGTGGAAAATAAAATGGAGCAGGATGGAAGAGTGGAAGGGCCTGGGGTGGTGGAGGTGGTGGTGGTCGAGGTCAGTTTGTGGTTTTAAGTTCATACAGTCAGAGTAAGCGTCTTTGAGATGACACTAGACCAAGTACTTGAAGGAGGTAAGTGGAAGGTTAGCCGTGTGGATGTCAAGTACAAAGGAAGTGCGGTCAGGATAGAGTGTTCTTTTTCAAGATGGAGGAAATTGTAGTGGGTTTATATACTGGCGGGACTGATTTAGTAGAGGGTGAAGAACTGATGATCAAAGGCAGAGGGGAACAGTGCTGGAGGAGTCCTGCAGTGGGGGGCAGTGTTTGGGATCTGGGGCACACGTGGAGGGATTTGCATTCATGGAGTGCTGGCAGGGTGTGTGTCATAATAGGAGTAAATGGATGTAGATGTTGTTGTTGGATGGATATGATGGTGGGAGTCTGTGCTCGAGTTTCGTCAGTGAGGCGGAAAGTAGGTTCATCAGCTAGAAGATGGGACAGGGGAGGAGCTGTTTGGGGTTTCAGGAAATAGGAGCAGGCGGGAAATGGTCCTCTGGGAGAGTAAATGGAGTAGGGCGTGTTTCCTGGGCAGCTGGAGAAGGCACCGAGTTTCACAGTTACAACTTCTAAGTGAGATCAGTCAGTGTGGTTGTGTGTTTTTGTTCAGCCAGTCTCAGCTACCTAGGCACACAAGAGAGCTGGATTTAATTAGGCTCTTTGAACAATGACAGTCGCTCCTCCCCATGCACAGGTCATCTCCTCCACTCCCTCCCGTTTTCCCCAACTCACCCTTACCTCCTGATGCACCATTGAATTTCCTTACTTCTTATATTTATAGTCTGTGTCCCTCCCTAGAATGTCACCTTCACAGGGGTTTGTTGTCTGCTTTGTTTATTGTTTTCCCCTTTGCACAAAGAAGAGCGCCTTGTACATACAGGTGTTCCGCAAATATTGGTCGAATAAGCGATGTACAGAAAGGACTCCCCCTTACAACAGTTTTAAGCAGAGAGGAGCAAGAAAAAGACTATGAAGACAACTGTTTTTGTTACTGTCAGAAATCTTGGGCTAGGTCTTACTTTCTGTGTGAGTTCTTCCCAGTCCCAAGAGCCAAGAGCCAGGACTGTCTGCTTCCTACGAGACTTTGGACCAGTGAGCAAAGGAGAGTTTACGCAGGGGACAAAGCCTCACAGGAAGGATCTGTTTCTTAGATTCCTTGAATGTCCAGAAGCCTCGGCATAGATAGGAAGCCCTCCTCAGTGACCATAATGTAACAGAGTTTTCATTCCCACTGTTGCTTTTGGCACCGTTGCTCAAACTGATGAAAAAGGGATTCTTTCAGGGCACTGAACGTCCTTGATAAAATTTTGAGGGGACTCAGATTTCTTAAAGATTCATGTTGTATATATGAGTGTGTTTCCCACTAGTCTTCGAAAGTGAAAACAGTGGAACTATCTGGAAATATTTTATTGTTACTGAGAAAAACGACAACTGAAAAACCCTCCACAGCACATAGACACACATCAGAATTGCATTTGTTCAAATAGCACATAGAGAGTTCCAGTTGGACGGTTTCCAGCAGCCTTCAGACTATTAACTGTGGTTCTTAGAAATTATCCCAAGAGGCTTCATCTAAACCTCACATGGTGGCTGAAATTCTGCACTGTGTGTCCCGCCCCTGGATGCCACGTCATCCTCCCTGGAACTGCCCGCTGTCTTCACATTGTGCCTCGTAAGTGATGATGAGGATAACGTGCGACTGTTACTCAGCAGAGTGGAAAGAGACTGGGGAAACGTAGCCAGCTTCAAACAGTTGAAGAGCCCCTTTTGATGGAAGATAAATAAAACTCAGTTCTGGGTAGGACTAGATAGTTTTTCAGGTCTCTTCTGCTGGCGAGACTTCGATATTATAAGTATTTTCTGTCACTAAAAATATTCACTTCTTGTTGGTTGAAGGAGTGACTCAAACATTTCAAAATGAACAATCGCTCTGACCAAAGACCTTTTTCTTAATGTTTATTACAGAGGTTCCAAAAACTTTAGCAGTTGCAGTGTGGAAGACTTTGAGAACTTTACTTTAAAGTACGGTGGGAACTGCCTTCTTAATATTCCAAAGCCTGCTGAGGCGTATAGTCCTCCTTTCTGCGGCAATAAGCTGGTGGACCCCGGGGAAGAGTGTGACTGCGGAACTCCGAAGGTCAGTTTCCCGCCTGACGTTTGCTCTGCGAATTTAGCTCGCAATTTGCAGAAAGTGAAAAAGTGTAGCTCGCTTTTGGGCAACCCTGGCACAGGAGCCCAAGTGAAAGTTAGTGACAAAATGAGGATTGGTATTTTGCTTGTGGGGCTGTGTTCCTGGGGTTGATAGCTCCCTCTTTCCTAGAATGTAACTGATGGTGTCCTGTTTCGGTACCATATTCATTCTTCCATTTTTTGCTGCCTTCTACAATTTCTGTTATGCTTATGGGGTCATTTATTTAGTAAATGGGAGCTGGCGCATTCTCCAGAGCTCTTCATTGAGAATGTTCTTGTGACTCAACTTAGTTATTCTCCCTTTACTAACCTTAGGTTCACCTCCTGACCTCTGGCTTTCTCAGACCTATTAACCCACTTGATGGAAGATAAATAAAACTCAACTTACTGTCTTAAGTCCATGCCCATAATAAAGGCTTATTATTATTTTTCTGTATCTTAGCCATTCTCCTCTCAAAATCACCAACCTAAGTCCTCCTAGACAAGGCTTAGCAGGAACATTTTTTTTTAAACTAAATTTTAAAAATTAAAAAAAAAATTAAGTTTCAAAGAAAACTTGTTCAGTGGTGTGTACGCTTTACTATATTCTCAGTCTTTTCCGAAAGTACTGTTGCTTCTTCCTCACCTGACCGCACGCACCTGGCTTTTGCCGGGAAACTTCACCTTCTAGAAAGGCAGTATGTATTTTATGATGAAATTGTGTTAGGCCTTCACTGCACTATTGCTGCATGTCAGGGACTTCCGCTAAATGTTCTACGTGGTATAATCCCCACAGTAATCCTAGGAGATTGGTATTTCTTATATTCTTATTTTTAAATGAGGACAGTAAATCCTCACGAGCTTCTGTTCAATTTCTAAATTAATGGTATGCTGTTAGGATGACCAGACCCTTCTTTTCCAAGCATTCTCAGATCCGTCTCCTCAAATATTTAATGTTTTGATTTCTCCTGACTACGTAGTTCATTCCCAGACTAATTGAAATAGTCTATATTTGCTTCTTGAGCTTTCACACTGCAAAATTACTCCTGAAAAAAGTATCTCTTCCCCTCAAAGATATCAGAGATGTTTTCTTGGTATAAAAGTTTCAAACAGTACAAGCAAAATTCCCCTTTCGTATCTTTACTTTCCCTGTACATTTTGTAACTTCCTCCTGCAGCGGTCCACCATTCTTAGAAGTTTAGTGTGTTTCTTAATAGATTTTATTCTGTGCATTTATATACATACATACACTATGTGCATTTGTACACAGTTGGGTTTGTTTTAGGATTTTATTTTTTTACATAAATGAAATCCAACGAAGTATGTCGTAGACAGAATTTTTTTTTCTGTTAGCATATCCTGGAGATTTTTTTTTACCATGTCACTGTAGTTAAACATAATCCTTTAGTCTGCTGATTAGTATTTCTTTTTAAAATATTTTTATTGAAGTATGGTCAGTTTACAATGTTGTGTCAGTTTCTGGTGTACAGCATAATACTTCAGTCATATAGGAACAGACGTATTCGTTTTCATACTCTTTTTCACTGTAAGTTACTATAAGGTATTGAATAGAGTTCCCTGTGCTATACAGTATACACTCGTTGTTTATCTATTTTATATGTATTAGTATCTGCAAATCTCGAACTCCCAATTTATCCCTTTCCCTTCTTCCCCTGGTAACCACAAGTTTGTTTTCAATGATTAGTGTTCCAATATGAGGGTGCACTATGGCTTATTTAACTGTATTCTGATTAAAGGATATTTACTCATCATGGTTAGTATTCTTCTGCTGGCAAACAGTACATCCTCATATATGCGCCATGTGTATATATACGCATATTTCCCTAAGATAGCTACATAAAGGTCGAATTATTGAATTGGATAGTATGTGCGTTTTTAGCTTTACGAGAGGCTACCACATTCCCTACAAAAAGGCTGTGTCAGTTTGCACCCCTGTCAACAGTGTATCATGGCATTCAGTGACCCTCCCCCATAGTTTTGTGACTAAGCAAGGTACAAGTTTCACTTCTGTTTCAAGATTATCAAAAAAAAAAAAGATTATCATCATAGCCCTTCTATAATTTTTTCTAGCATTTTTTAATTGAGAATTTTTATATTAGCTCTTTAATTGAAGGGGCTGGTCATGTGAAGTGAGCTAGAGAATTAACTTTTATTCGTTAAATGTCAGCTGTTGCAAAACCATTTAATATGGTGCTTTCACCTGGAACAAAATTCCTGTGTACATAATCTATTTCCTTATCCTCTATTCTTTTTTGAAGCCATCTGTCTTGCACAATATTTTTGAAAAAAAAATTAACAGCTTTATTCGGGGGAGGATATAGCGCAGTGGTAGAGCGCATGCTAAGCATACATGAGGTCCTGGGTTCAGTCCCCAGTACCCTCCATTATAAAGTTCATAAATAAATAACCTAATTACCTCCCCACCGAAAAATTTAAAAAAAATTAACAGTTTTATTGACGTATAGTTGAATACAATTTCAAAAAACTGCTCAAATTCAGACTTAGATAAGAAAAGGCTTTATTTAGAAGACAGACTTGTAGCAGGGAGAGCACGCAGATCTCAAATCTGGAAGCGTCTCAAAGTCAAACAAAAAGGTTTGTCTTTTATAGAGTAAAGGTGGGGGCAAACAGGGATAAGCAGAATCTTTTCAGGTGAAGCTGGATAAGCCAGTGGAAATGCCCAGTTGAGGTCCAATAGGAAATTGTCCCATGGTCAACTGATTTCCAGAAGAAGCTGATGGAGGGGTGGGTACTTTCTCCCCTTTTTTCAGTGGAGGGGGCGAACAAGCAGAGTTCAAGGGCCTATAGGAAACAGAGGAGTCCTATCAAAGTTTGATCAAGACAAAGCCAAGGGTAAGAAATAGGCAATTATGAACACTTGTCAACACCTGTTTAAAGCATACAAGTTAAGTTTTGACCCACGTGTGCATATGCGAAACTATCACCACAGTCAAGATAATGTGCGTATCGTCATCCCCAAAAGTTCTTTGTGACTCTTGGCAATCCCTTCTTCTCACCCCATGTTGTTCCTCCGTTCCCCTCAGGCAGTCACTGATCTGCAGTCACTGTATATTAGTGTGCATTTCCTAAAACTTCATGCAGATGGAATGGCTCTTTTTTGTCCAGCTTCATTCACTTAGCATAATTATTTTGAGTTCATCCATGTTGCTACTGTGTCAGTGGTTCTTTCATTTTCACTGTTTATCATTGAGGAGCGTGGAAGCCAGAAGAAAATGGGGGAACAATAAGGGCCAGAAGACAATAGAACAGCCGCTTTACAGTTCTGAAAGAAAAAAAAACCCCATCAACCTAGAATTCATACGTATATATCGCAAATAAATGCTCTTCAAAAATTAAAGCTTATTTCTCTGCCCCTTTCTCCTCCTCCATCCTGCTGTCTTCTTCTCTGCACTTCTCCCTTCTTTCTTTCGCAAACAATTCAGACCTGAAGATATCAGTTGAGACAGGAGAGTAGTTGCCTCTGGGTGGGAGGCTGGGGGGAGTGGGGAGCCATGGTGGCCCACAGTGGAGTGAGAGAAGCCAAGCAAGATGAAAGGAATGTCCACGTCAGCTGAGAGCCCGCCCAACAGAGAAGTCAAACCCTGAGCATGAGGAGAAGTACATTCATGGGTGCTTAATTTCCTATGATCATGAAGTATACTCTTACAGACGGAATGTTTGTGTTCTCCTCAGGTTCATATGTTGAAGCCCTAACCCCCAAGAATGGCTGTAGATGGAGATGGGCCTCTAGGGAAATAATTAAGATGAAATGAGGTCATGAGGGTGGGCCCTGATCTGATGGAATCAGTGCTCTTATTAAAAAGAGACGCTGGAGAGCTTGCTTGCTGTCTCTGAACACACACAGTGCAGAAAGGCCCTGTGAGCACACTGCAGGAAGGCAGCTGTCTGCAAGCCAGGAAGAGAGTCCTCGCCGGTAACTGAATTGGCTGGAACTTTGGTCTTGGACTTGTAGCCACCAGAGCTGTGACGTAATAACATTTCTACTATTGAAGCCACTAGTCTATGGTATCTTGTTCTGGCAGTCCCAGCAGACTAAGACACGTACTTTCCATGATTTCAGCCCTCTGAAATATGTTGTGACCTAAATAGTCACTAAAGAGCCTCTGATAAAGGTGGGGGGGATTATAGCTCAAGTAGTAGAGCACATGCTTAGCATGCATGAGGTCCTGGGTTCAATCCCCAGTACCTCCATTTAAAACAAAAACTAATAATAAATAAAAAATAGACCTAATGACCTGTGTGCACGCGCACACATACACACAAAAGGAGTCACTGATAAATCCAGAAGGATCATTCAGTGACTGCAGAGAGTAGCTGCCATAGCCAGATTAGAGAGAAGTATGGGTCTAGGATAAGAATTCTGTTAATGAATATTGATGATGATTATCCATTTCTTTATTGACAGTTTTCTTTGTTCTTCACAGGAATGTGAATTGGACCCTTGTTGTGAAGCAAAGACCTGTAAGCTTAAATCGTTTGCTAAGTGTGCCTATGGCGACTGTTGTCACAAATGTCAGGTAGGGAATTCCTCCCTATTCGGAAAAAAAAGTAGAAAAAGGGAAAATACGCATGTATCAGAATTTGTTTTCTCTGATCTGTAAGAAAGCACTATATCTTATTACATGATATTTTACGCCACCTGTTTGCAGTTTTGTATCATGTTCATGACATATGGTCTAGTGAGATTTTTTTTTTCCTAAGTAGAAACATTTTTTTCTGATTTTAAGAATAATCTATGTTTTTTTATTAAAAATTCAACAATACCACAGTATAGAAAGTAGACACTGAAAGACACTTATTTTACCCTTTGGTAGCCATTGTTGGTAATTTTTCCTATATAAATATGAGTGTGTGTGTGTGTGTGTGTGTGTGTATAAGTGAGTAAACGTGGATACACATATTTTTACTACCTACTTTTTTCAATAAGACACTACTAAATGGACTTTCCTTTATTTGTGTGGTTCTGAAGGCTGTATAATTAGTGTTCCTTGGTATGGCTATACCGTAATTTATTTAGTCAACTAATGATGGGCATTAATATTGCTTCCAATTTTTGTTTACAAGTGGAATTATTGGGACAGAGTATGTGTGTGAAAACTCTTAACATGCATTTTATTTACCTTGACACAAGTGCCAGTGTGTACTCGCTGGTGTAATCGCACACAGTGGAATCACAGTGCTTGTCTCCTCATGGTAACGTTGGTTGCTAGCAAGGGGTGTAATGTAGGTTAGTCTGATAGGTGTAAAGAGCTTTTATACTTTATTTAAATAATTTGCATTCCTTTTGGTTATCAGTGAGGTTATGTTTTTTCGTTTTCCGTATTTCCCAACTTTTATGAATTGCCTATTACTGCCTTTTGTTCATTTTTCTACTGGGCTATTTAATCTTTTGTTTTTGTTAGAACTTTTTTAGAGATTGAAATACTGTGGTTTCAAATTTGGTTATCACTTTGTGGGAATTTTCCTCATACTGCTGTGTAATTTGAACCCTGTTACCCTAGTTCCTTTCAGGAGGTACTTTATGCCGAGGAAAAACCAATGAATGTGATGTTCCCGAGTACTGCAATGGTTCTTCTCAGTTCTGTCAGCCAGATGTTTTTATTCAGAATGGGCACCCTTGCCGGAATAACAAAGCCTATTGTTACAACGGCATGTGCCAGGATTATGACATTCAGTGTCAAGCCATCTTTGGCTCAAGTAAGATATTTTATTTGTATTGATTGCTTTGATTTTATTTATTTCTTTGTTTTAGTTTTTTGTTAAAAACGGAAATTGTTAAAATTGAAGTTCTCCCATTTCCTTTTTTATCCTGTCACATCTCCCTCTTTCCTCTCCGTGGACAGTCATGGTTATGAATTTGATGTGTCCAAATTCAGCTGGTGATTTTTGCTTTTACTCTCTCGCTCTCATCTCCCTATCCTGTGTATATAAACAACAACTCATATAGATATTGTGTTATATCTATATAACAGTATAGATATATACTGTGCAGTATCATATTCTAGTTTTAATAAATTCATGAAACTACTGTGGAGACACACATATGGATCTTCTGTCTTCATTGTTCACTCAAAATGTTTTTGAGATCCATCTGTGCTGCTATATTTAGATCGTAGATCAGTGGACTGTTCCATTATATAAAATGGAATCTATTCTCTTACGAATAGTATTTAATGTGTTTTTTATTTTTTGTTTCTCTTTAAAAAATTTTCATTTTTATCAAAGCTGTACATACAATAAAGAACCGTATTGTTCACAAGCCTTTATGGAAAAGTAAAGTGTACTCACACGTAATGATCACATCCCTTTTTTTTTAGTTTTTTTTTTTAAATTGAAGTACAGTCAGTTACAGTGTGTCAGTTTCTGGTGCACAGCACAGTGTCCCAGTCATACATATACATACATACATTCATTTTCATGTTCTTTTTCATTAACGGTTATTACAAGATATTGAATATAGTTCCATGTGCTATATAGGAGGACTTTGTCTCTTTTTTTTGTTTTTGGTTTTTTAAAATCTATTTTTATATATAGTGGCTAACGTTTACAGATCTCAAACTCACAAATGTATCCCTTCCTACCCCCTTTCCCCAGTAACCATAAGATTGTTTACTAAGTCTGCGAGT